CGGTCTTTGACCAACACAAGCAAAAATCTACCTAAGGACCTTGTTTAAGCTAGTAGCTATCAAATAACAATAATGAAATATTTCAAATTCTAATAAAATTTGTCATTCTTTTAAAGCACATTCTGAAGGTACCTGATAATGCAAACTAAAATACTAGTTGACTATAATCCGTTACTACAAAACCTTTCATCTAGCTTCCTATCCAATGTTGATGGATCTTTATTGCCGCAGCACAGAACCTGGCTACCTGCGCTGTAACATAAGGCCGGTTGTCCATAAGAAGCATTTGAAGGTAATCTGAATTTTGACAGCCAGGCTGTTTATTGATCAAGGGAGCAAGCAATTTACTCTGTGGGACTTGGTAAAAGGTACCACGGAGAAGAACATGACCCATGTCTTCCACTTCCTTGGCATCACAAGGACAAAGTCTTGCGGTTAATGGAATGCTTTTATATTTGCCGTCCAGCACCGCTGAAGGAAAAGCATGACAACAAGCTAAGGAGAATGCTTTCTGATGACTGGGGAGCTTGAGCTGCGCTAAATATCTGGCAGCGGTGACAGTAAACTTGCTGCATGGCGGAGATAGAAAGGATGGAACGTTCCCTAGATCTGCTTGTTGTTCTATATGCTCTGTCCTTTGCTTTATGGCCATTCTTGCCTGCTCATATTCCATCGCTAGAATCCCAGCCGTAGAATAGCCTAACTTAGAGAGGATGAGCTCAATGTCCTTTTTCCACAAGGATTGAAATGTATCCTGAAGGATAAGTGGAGCTAGGCCCTGTGGGTACTACTTTATTTTTAGCCAGAAATTCAGCGAGGCTAGGCGCACTTTCCACTCAACCTTTATCGTGCCTGTTTCCAAGTGTAGTTGTGCACTGGAAACACATCTGGGCATTTGCAGAACTGCCCTAATGAATTTAGCTTGTACTAAATTGTACCAGGTATATCATACTTTAAGTTGGAGAGCCAACAGCAGACCCACAGAGAAGTTGGGTAGCGACTTTGTCTGGAAAAGTTTGAGAGCTGCTGGGACCAAATACCCCCCTTTACTTTGAAAAATTTTTAAAATGGCATTGGCAGAACGAAGACCTAACTCGGCTGCATATTCACAATGAGCTCTCCTTGATCTGGAGGCATGCATGATTATACCTAAATATTTAAAACTATTCACTTGTTCTATTCTATGACTGTTAATAGTCCAGAAGTGTTGCTTTGGTCTTTTAGAAAAGGCCATAATCTTTGTTTTCTAGAAGATTGCGCAGTATTGGACCAGAGTTCTCAGGGCTCTTTTTAGACATATCAGTGTCCTAGAAAGGACAACTGCATCATCTGCATAAAGCAGCAGGGCTATACTACGAACCCCTAATTTAGGTGGGTGAAAGTCTGGGTGATTTAAATATCTCACCATGTCACTGATGTAAAAGTTAAAGAGTAAGGGAGCCAAGATACATCCCTGTTTCACCCCCTTTTATACTTTAATTGGTTTTGAAAGAAACCCTTGCCTATTACATTTAACCTTAAGGGTTGTGTTAGTATGTAGCGCCCAAATTAAATAGAGAAGCCTGTTGTCTACTGATACAGCTTCCATTTTCTCCCAAAGCTTGGAAGAAACAGAGTCGAAGGCTGCCTTGAGGTCTATAAAGGCAGCATACAATGATGTTATCTTATTGCTGGAATATTTTTCTATCAGATGTTGAAGGACTTGGCATTGTTCAATGGTATCTTGTTTCTCTCTGAATCCTGCCTACTCATCTGCTATCAGGTTCTTCTGGACCATCCAGTCCTTGAGTTTTTCCTGTAAATGTCTAGCATCTAATTTGCTGATTGTATTTAGCAAGCTAATCGGCCTATAATTTGTAGGTTCATCCCTCCTACCTTTTTTAAAGATTGGGACTATAATAGCCAAGCCCCAATCCTCCAGGATTCATCTGGTCTTATCAATATAAATAAAGAGGGATGCTAGCATCGGAGCCCACCATTCCGTAAAATTTTTCAATGCTTCTACTGGAATAAAATTCGCTGCCGGGCCTTCCCTTTTCTTAGTTGACCAATTAACATCTTGATTTCAGATGTTGAAACTGGAGGCCACTCAGTTAAGGCATCTTTCATTTGTATTTCCATCTCATTGGAGGAATCTTCATATAGTCTCTGAAATTGAAGTTCCCATATTTCTGGGGCTATATGGGAATCTAACATGGTAGAGGATC